TTTGGTAAAATTATCCTGTGAAGCCATCTGGTCCAGGACTTTTGTTTGTTGGGGGTTCTTTGATTATTGCTCTGTTTCACTTGTAATTTTTCTATTCAGACTTTCTGATTATTCCTGATTGAGTTTTTGGAAGATTTTATGTGTGTAGGAATTTATCCAGTTTTCCCACATTGTCCAATTTGTTGGCATACACTTGTTCATAAGATTTTCTTCAATCCCTAGTATTTCTGTGGAGTCAGGTGTTACCTTTTTCATTTTTGATTTTGGGTCTTCTCTCTTTTTTTATTAATGAGTCTGCTTAAAGGTTTGTCCATCTTGTTATCTTTACAAAGAAGCAGCTCTTGGTATCATTGATCTTTTTTATTGTTATTTTTTAGTCTATTTTGTGTATTTCTGCTCTGATCTTTGTTTCTTTTCTTCTACTCATGTTGGGCTTTTTTTTGCTATTCTTTATCAAGTTTTCTTTTCTAGATATGAAAAGTAAGTGATTGACTATGAATGTATAAGCTTCTTTAGTCAAGGTAGAACTTTGCAATTAGACAGTCTAGTTTTAAATGAGTATCTTTGAATGTTTGAAACAGAATAATCAGCTACCTTATTTCTAATAGTAATTTGATTTTTTTTCATTGCAATCCATAGAAACAAAAATAAAGTTTCTGGAAGTTCTTTCTAAGAAAGGTGAAATGCTATTGTAATTTCAGTTAAAAAGTTCAACATTGCAGTGATATTACAAATGTAAATTTAAGTGGAGCACAGCATCATAAAACCAGTGTTCTTTATAAATGAAGAAAGCTAGAATGATTGCATATCAATTTTGTAACTGTATCTAAATAAGCTAACTTCCTTTTTCTTAATATATCAGATAGCACTCATTTCCATCGGCAGTTAAATCTGTGTCAGACCAATCAAAATATAAGTCACAGTTGTCAGAATTTACACTTTATATTTACACACATATAGAGAGTCACTGAACTACAGAATTTTTTGGTGACATTGATGTTGACTACAAAAAAATATACTTCAGTGCAGCATGTGCTTTATCTATTTGCTATCACTCAGATTTTATTTTATTTATTATTTTTTGATATATATTTTATTGATTATGCTATTACAGTTTGTCCTCCTTTTTTTCTCCCCTTTATTCACCTCCACCCTGCTCTGCCCCTTTCCCCCAGCATTCCCCCTGCATAGCTCATGTCCATGGGTCATACATCTAAGTTCTTGGGCTTTTCCACTCCCTATACTGTTCTTAACCACACCCTGCCTATTTTGTACTTACTATTTATGCTGCCTATTCGCTGTACCTTTTCCCCTATTCTTTCCCCCTTCCCTCTCCTCTGATCTCCATTTCTGTGATTCTGTTACTGTTCTAGTTGTTTGCTTAGTTTGTTTTTGTTTTTATTTTACGTTCAGTTGTTGATAGTTGTGATTTTTGTTATCATTTTACTGTTCAGAGTCTTTGATCATCTTCTTTTTCTTAGATAAGTCCCTTTCTTATAACATTTCATATACTTATGGCTTGGTGATGATGAACTCCTTCAACATGACTTATCTGGGAAGCACTTTATCTACCCTTTATCCACTCTAAATGATAGCTTTGCTGGACAGAGTAATCTTGGATATAGGTCCTTGCTTCTCATGACTTTGAATACTTCTTGCCAGCCCCTTCTTGCCTGCAAAGTATCTTTGGAGAAACCAGCTGATAGTCTTACAGGAACTCCTTTGCAAGTAACTGTCTCCTTTTCTCTTGCTGCTTTTAAGATTCTCTCCTTATCTTTAATCTTGAGTAACTTAATTATGATGTGCCTTGGTGTGTGCTTCCTTGGGTCCAACTCCTTTGGGACTCTCTGAGCTTCCTGGATCTCCCGGAAGTCTATGTCCTTGGCCAGATTGGGGAAGTTCTCCTTCGTTATTTGTTCAAATAAGTTTTCAATTTCTTGCTCTTCCTCTTCTCCTTCTGGCACCCCTGTGATTCGCATGTTGGATCACTTAAAGTTCTCCCAGAGGTTCCTAAGCCTCTCCCAATTGTTTTGAATTCTTGTTTCTTTATTCTGTTCTGGTTGAATGTTTATCTCTTCCTTCTGCTCCAAGTGGTTGATTTGAGTCCCGATTTCCTTCCCTTTACTGTTGGTTCCCTGTATATTTTTCTTTCACTTTGCATAGCCTTTGATTTTCCCTCCATTTTTGCGAACATACTCAACCAATTCAGTGAGCATCCAGATTACCAGTGTTTTGAACTGTGCATCTGATAGGTTGCCTATCTGTTCATCGCTTAGTTCTATTTTTGGAGCTTTGATCTGTCCTTTCATTTGGGCCATATTTCCATGTCTCATCATGCCTGTTATGTGGGAGGGGCAGAGCCTTAGGTATTCACCAGGGCTAGGCAACCCAGGTCACTGAGTTGTGACACTGTGTGTAGGGGAGGGTACCAAGAGGGATCAGTGCCACTTGCCCCGCTCTCTGCCACCTTTCAGTCACTTTCTCGCTGCCCACAAGCAAAGTGGGCTTTTCTAGTGCTTATTCCCAGATGGGTGGGTTTGTGTACATTCTAGGATCCCGTGAGTCTCTCCAGCAGACTCTCCTGTGAAGCTATGAGTTTCTCCTGCCATCACAAGCCCCTTAACATTTACCTCCAGGGGCTTTGAGTCTTTCTTTTCCCATGCTGGAACCTTGGATTTCATGGTCTGTCTCCTTCCCCAGCTGTTCCTCATGCTTTATCTGCATGTAAATGTGGGAACACCTGGTCTGCCAGGCACCTCCTTGCACACCCAGTCTTCCAGCTGCCACCCTGATGCATGTCCTCTGCGCCCCAGCTGTCCATCTTCACCCCTCCTACTGGTCTGGATGAATGTTTCTTCTTTAACTCCTTGGTTGTTGGACTTCCATATAGTTTGATTTTCTGGCAGTTCCGGTTATTTTTCATTTTTAAATTTGTTGTCCTTCTTTTAGTTTTGTGAGGAGGCAAAGTGTATATACCTATGCCTCCATCTTGGTCGGACATGCTATCACTCAAATTTGAGAATTGTTTGAGCCTTTGAAGAATTACTTGGTAAATCAATTAAAGTGATTGACAATGGTATCTAGCTTCTTTGGAAATAAGTCCTTTATATTATGGCTGCATTTTATTCCAAATCACTTAGAAATCTTTCATCAGAATTTTTGATAAATGGAGTACCAAAAACACAAAATTTTTGAAGTTTATAGAAAATTGTAATTATAAAAAATGATGTTTCCAAACAGGAAGACAATGATTTTTATCCCTACAAATGCAAAGGAGAAATTGAACAAATTAAATGACTAGAGCTCAAACAGTGTACTAGTTTTATTTTTTTAAATGTATAACTAGATTTAGAATATCTCTTCTTGAAGGAAGAACTTTTGAAGGAGTTTCTATTTTCAACTGGGTAAATTTAGGTTCTATACTGAAAGGGAGTTTTAAATTAAGACTTGTTTTCAACATCCAAATTTGGCAAAGCATTCAAAACAATTTTTGTTTCAAAAAACTACTTGTCAAAGCAGGTAATAACAAGTGTTGATAAGGATGTGGTGAAATTGGAACTCTCTAATGTTACTTGTGTGAAAGTAAAATTGTACAAAACAGTCTTGCAGTTCCTCAGTGGTTAAATGTCTAGTTACCATGCGATTGATCCAGCAATTCCACATCTAAGTATGTATACCTAAGAGAAGTTAAAACACTCATCCACACAAAAACTTGTAAGTGAATGTTCATAACAGCAATATACATAATAGCCAAAAAGTGGAAACAACCCAAATGTTCATCAGCTGATGAATGTATAAACAAAATATGGTATGTCAATGCAATGGATTATTTTTGGCACATTTTTTTTTGGAGTACATACCTCATTAACTTTTTTTAAAAATTGAATTTATTTGAGTGACATTGATTAACCAAATTTTACAGGCTTTAGGGGAAGAATTCTACAATACATCATCTGTACACTATATTGTGTGTTCACTGCCCCAAGTTGTTATTTGGCATTTAAATGGGTAAAGTACTAATACACGCTATAATATGGATGAACCCTGGATATATGTTAAGTGTAATAAGCCAGTCACAAAGGACAAGAAGGTATATGGTTACATTGATATGAAATGCCCACAATAGGTAAACCTATAGAGACAGAAAATACATTAGTGTCGGCAGCATAGGGTATATTGGAGAGGTATAGGGTTTCTTTTTGGGATACTGAAAATATTCTAGAATTTAGTGTCATGATGATGCACAAGTCTGTGAATATAGTTAAAACTATTGAATCATACTCTTTTAAACAGATGAATCATATATTATTTGAATTATATCCCAATAAAGTTGTCAAAGAAAGGTACTCTGAACAGAAGCAAAAGGCGATACTGTAAAACATTTGGGCTGAAATATTTACACATTTAAATGCAAAAAAAAAAGAGTTACAGTTGAGACTATTCTCTACCAGGTAAATTTGCTCCTATAGACTATTTTTATCAAGTAAAAATACTGTGAATAAAGTGAGTCAGTTGAGGAAATCAGCATTTTCAAACTGATAAGGATGAAGAAAGGAAAAAACCCCACTACTCAGGGATAATCTTTGTTAATGTTTTGTTCCCTGTCCTTAATATGGATATATCATGGATATAATATTTTGTAAAATTATATACTGTTTCCATTCAGAATATAATTGCTTCCATTCAAAACTCCCCCTTTTTTCTTAATATATCAAATACCACACTTCCATGTTCATTCATTTGAATTCCTGTCATAGGCTATTTGAACATTTCATTTATTTTAGTCTCCAGCCCTACTAATTGTTTGTGGTCTGAGAAAATGTGTGATGTCCAATTTAACCCCAGCACATTGTTCAAATGCCCAATGCACAGAAGTCACTTAATAGCTGTTCCTTGACTGAAATACTTGGTCAAACAGAACAGAATCCTACCGCCACTCCATCGTTGAAACCACAATCAAAATAGTCTGTTGTATTTCGTTTTCTTTTCTATTTTCATAGGTATCGTGCTCCTGAAGTTTTATTAAGATCGTCAGTTTACAGCTCTCCCATTGATGTGTGGGCTGTTGGGAGTATAATGGCTGAACTATATACATTCAGACCACTTTTCCCAGGGACAAGTGAGGTAGATGAAATCTTTAAAATTTGCCAAGTCTTAGGGACTCCAAAAAAAGTAAGTACTCTTGTCCTTAAATTGTTATAACTTCTGATTATTTATAAATTTTGCCTAACTATATGATATTTTTATTTTCAAATAGGTTTATGATTTAATGGTTAATTTCCATGTAATTCTTAATTTTTTTAAAATTGGGGTGGGATGAGGATTATAGGAAGCCAGAGTCCCAATACACTGAAGAAAAAAGATGCTTGCCTTTAAGAACCTAGGGAAAATGCTCCATATTTAGAATTCTATATATTTAACTTTGAGTTGATGACCAACTGACTACTACATAGACATCCTTACTTAAACTCTTACATACTTGCTCTGTGAATTTTCATTAGCATCAACTCATTACCCCAGGTGTCCTGGATTATCCTCTTTAACTTCTCTTTGTTCCCTTTTATATGCCTCCGCCATGGACATATGAGTTCTTGGACTGAATACTTTTCACTTAACTACTACATTTATCTAGATCTTACATTCTGGGATGTACTTAATAAGTTTAAATATATATAATAATATCTTAATTAAATTATTAGGTGCCTATGGTTAACAGTAACTATTTTTTTAAATATTTTATTTATTTACTTTTAGAGAGGGGAAAGGAGGGAGAAAAAAGGGAGAGAAAATGAATGTGTGGTTGCCTCTCAAGCACCCCCTTCTGGGGACCTGGCCAGCAACCCAGACATGTGCCCTAACTGGGAATTGAACCAGCAACCTTTTGGTTCACAGGCCGGTGCTCAATCCACTGAGTCATACCAGCCAGAGCAAACAGTAACTATTAAAGCTTTTAGATAATTGTCATTTCCTAGCTATGTGAAATTTTTATTTTTTTTAGTCATATTTGATTCACTATGCTATCTATTACAGTTTTCCTAATTTTCCCCACTTTGATCTCATCCACCCAGCACCTCCCATTCTCTCCATCAATCTCCCCACCATTATTCATGTCCATGGGCCATGCATGTAAGTTCTTTGGCTACTCCATTTCCTGTACTCTACTTTACATCCCCATGGATTTTCTGAAACTACCTATATGTAGTTCTTAATCCCCTCACCTCTTCACCCAGGCCCCCACACACTCCTCCCTTCTGGCAGCCAACAAAACACTCTCCGTAGCCATGATTCTGTCTCTGTTTTTCTTGCTTTCTTAGTTTGTTTTTTAGATTCAGTTGTTGATATGTATGTATTTTTTGCCATTTTATTGTTCAAAGTTTTGATCTTCCTCTTTCTTTTAAATAAGTCCCTTCAACATTTCATGTAATAACAGTGTGGTGAGGATGAACACCTTTAGTTTTTTCTTGTCTGGAAAGCTCTTTATCTACCCTTTGATTCTAAATGACAGCTTTGCTGGGTAGAGCAATCTTGGCTGTAGTACCCACTTTTCATGACTTTGAATATTTCTTGCCAATGCCTCCTAGCCTGCAGAGTTTCTTTTGAGATATCAGTTGACAGTCTTATGGGAACTCCATTGGAGGCAGCTAACTGCTTTCCTCTTGCTGCTTTTAAGATTCTCTCTTTACCTTTAAACTTTGGCTTTTTAATTATGATGCGTCTTGGAGTGGGCCTCTTTGCATCCATCTTGTTTGGGACTCTTGGCTTCCTGGACTTGCATGGTCATTTCCTTCACCAGATTAGGGAAGTTTTCTTTCATTACTTTTTCAAACAGATTTCCGGTTTCTTTCTCTTTCTCTTCTTCTTCTGGCACCCCTGTGATGCCAACATTGGACCTCTTGAAGTTGTCCCAGAGGCTGCCTATATACTATCCTCATTTTTTTTTTTTTTTTGCATTCTTTTTTCTCCTTGTTGTTCTGATTGGGTGTTTTTTTTTGCTTCCTTTTGTTCCAAATCATTGATTTGATTCTTGGCTTCATCCACTATGTTGTTTCCCTGTAAGCTGTTCTTTATTTCAATTAGTGTATCTTTGATTTCTGACGAAGTCTTTTTTATGCTGCTGAGGTCCTCACTAAGTTCCTTGAGCATCCTTATAAACAGTGTTTTGAACTCTGCATCTGATAGATTGCTTATCTCCATTTTATTTAGTTCTTTTTCTAACCTTTTGACTTGTTCTTTCATTTGGGCCATGTTTGTCTCCTTGTTTTGACAGCCTCCTTGTGTTTGTTTCTATGTATTAGGTACAGCTTCTTTGACTCCGTGTCTTGGTCATGTAGCCTAATGTAGTAGGTATCCTGTAGGGTCCAGTGGCACAGCTTCCCCTATCACCCAGCATGAGCCCTTCCTGTGGGCTGAGCACACCCTCCTCTTGTAGTTGATCCCTGGTTGCTGTTGGCAGATCAATGGGAGGGATTTATCCAGGTCAGTCAGCTGCAAGGTTTGGCTGTGACCACTGACCACCAACATCTGCCCTCTGTGGAGGACCAGTGCAGGGACAGTGGTGTTGCTCCAAGGTGGTCTGTAGCTGTCCACGGGGTGTGCTGGCCCTGGTGTTTTCCTGGGTGTTGAGGCCAAAGTCAGTTTTCACCCGTGTTTTGCCAGAGACCACTCTGCCTGAGCCACAAAGCAATCTGAGATGGTAATAAATTTTATTATGTACTTTTTCTAGCCTGGTTTCTAATCCTTACATTTATTATTTCTTTTCCCTCTTTTCCCTCTTCCCTCTCAAAATCATTTTCTTTCCTTGAGACATCTCGTAATCTTTTTTCTTGTGCTACTAGTGCTGGGCTTGGAGATTCCCAGGCAAAGCCAAGCTGTGAATCTAGGCTGGCTGCTGCTAGTGCTGGGCCTGGCAGCTCACTGAGGCCTGTTGTTGCTTGTTTGCGAGGATTTAGGAATCTGTGAAGCGTGAGCCAAGACCAGCCAATCATATGGAAGAGCAGCACCATAGGATGGGTGGGGCAGAGTCTGGGGATCTCCAAGGTGGGTCAAACACTGTTAGCTAGGTTGATGGAGTCTCAGATATGGGACCGGCTTGCTAGCCCTGTAGGGGGAGGGTTAAAAAAGGGACAATGGCCTCTGCTTGCCTTGACGCCAGACACTTCAGTTCCTCCCTTTTGCCACTGGTGCCTTTCAAGCTGCTACCCCAGTGCTAGAGCTCAGAGGGAGTGAGTCTGAGTAGGTGAGTCCGTGTGTGGCTTCTTCAAGAGCAACTTCTTGGGCCTCCAGAAGTTTCTTCCACCAATTCCATCCCTGCTGGTTTTTGCAGCCAGAAGTTGTAGGGACTTATCTTCCTGCCACTGGAACCCTGGCCTGGGAGACCTGGTGTGGGGTTGGGACTCCTCACTCCTGAGATATCCCCCTTGAATTTTTATCCACCACATGGGGGTGAGGGACCAGCCCGTTCCACATCTGTGCCCCACCTACTAGTCTGGATGGATGTGCTTTCTTTCATTGTGTAGTAAGTTGTCAGACTTCCATTCAACCTGATTTCTGATGGTCCTGAGTGATGGCTGTTCTACATTTTAGTTGTAATTTTGATGTGGTTGTGCAAAGAGGTGAGCCACGTCTGCCTACGCTGCCATCATGACCAGAAGTGTGCAATTTTTAGCACTGGTTGCAGTGTATAAATTACAATGAGGATCTTTGTCATGATCAGACACTTTGTAAAGCATGTATCTCATTTGTTCAAAGTCACATGAGTGTCATCATCATCATCATCATCCAAATACTAGACAAGTGTTTAATATTTTGAAATTCATAAAAGTGCTTTTTCATGCTTTCCTAACTCTCAGTTCAATGTTATTTTAATACTGTTCGTAGCAATGTATTGTATAGTGGTCTGGTATTTCATTCTTTGGTTTGCAGTCCTGTGTTCAATCCACTGAGCCACCCCCAGCCAGGGCATGGTATTTCATTCTTAAATTCATTTATATGAATCAACTGATTTTCACATGTAAGTGATTTGTATGACTCTGTTTAAATTTATTACTAATATTATTTTTGCTTTCTCTCCACTTACATATTTCTTAAACAGAATGACTGGCCAGAAGGGTACCAGCTTGCATCTGCGATGAATTTCCGTTTTCCTCAGTGTGTTCCTATAAACTTAAAAACTCTTATTCCCAATGCCAGTAATGAAGCTATTCAGCTCATGACTGAAATGTTGAATTGGAATCCAAAAAAACGACCAACAGCAAGCCAGGTAAAGTGAAGCCAAGTATAGTTTTGTTATATTTTAAAGGTTTACAATATCAGTGATATTTCTAATGTAAAGATAAGTGTTTTCTTAACCAGGGTTTCCAGGAAAATAAAGCCGTAAAGCCATAAGGCCCAGTGTATATAATGAATTAATTTCTAGGCATGCAAGCTCCTTTGGAAAATTGCAAAAATAGCCACACCAGTAATTTGATGTTTGTAGTTCAAATGAGCAATGCTATGAAGGTAAGGCTGAATAGATACCGTATTTTGCCATGTATAGTGTGCGCTCTTTTTGCCCAAATTTTTGAGGGATAAATAAGGCCCAAGGTACATTATACATAGGTAGTAATAATTTTGTATCTATATAAATATTTTTAATTCTTTTATTAATGCTTATGTGTTAAAAGTGTAACTGTAGAAAGCAATAAAGATATTTGTATGCAAAATAATACTCTGGAATATGATAATTGGTTTTGTTGAACTTGCAATGAGAGCAGTTTTAGCCAGCGATTCCACGAAATGAAACAAAGAGTGACATGTTGTTATCCACAGAGTGAGTAAGATGCTGATTGTTATCCACTGGATAAGACAGGTGATGCTGACTTTATTACCATGGGGGAGAAATTACACTTTAGGTGGGAGAAATTATTGGAAAATCCCTTGGAAAACATTGAAACAGTTAAAGAAAAGCTTTAAGCTAAAAGTTACTAAATAGAATATTATTATATTAATATATTTATATTCAATATTATAAACATTTATATTTAATATAAATATAATTATATAATATGAATATAAATGAATATAAATATATATTTATATTTAATACTTAACATTATTTATATTTAGTATTGTAAGTATTTGTATTTATATTTATATTCATATAATATAAATATAATTATAATACAAATATAATGTAAATATAAATATATTTAATATTATAAATGTTATAAATATAAGTGTATTTCTATTATATTTCTATTATAATATAATTAAGTATAAATATAGCAGAGCTGCCAAGAGATACTTTGGACCTCCTCCCACAGAGAGTGTCATCAGTTTGTGGAGGCAACAGGAGGAAAAGCTTCTTCAGATGCTGAGATAGAAGAAGGCAATGCAAGGGGAACCTCCGAAGTGGCCGGTTGGAAAAGCAGGAGGTGAAGACCTAGATTCTGGAGCAGCATCAGACTGGGATCTCTGTTTCAACCAAGATGATACAAGAAGGTAGAAGAATTGCACAAGAAAAAAACATTGATGATTTCTCAGGGACATCTAAGTGGTGCTTTAACTTTATGAAGAGAAAAGGTTTGAGTGTGAGGACATGAACAAAACTTGCCCCAAAACTTCGAGCAGCCTATGAGAATCAAGTTTTGGAATTTCATTCTTAAGTTATCAATCTTTGAAAGACTTAGAACTTTGAGCTGTCCCAAATTGCCAGTATGGATGAGGTCCCACTCACATTGGATGTGCCATCCATCAGAACTGTGGATGACAAAGGAGCAAAGACCGTGGCTATTAAAGCTAGTGGTCATGAGAAAACACATTTCACTGTTGTTCTAGCCTGTTGTGCAGATGGGACAAAGCTACCACTTGTGATCATATTTAAAAGAAGAAAAATTGTTTCGAAAAGAAGATTCCAAGTCGAGTCATTGTCCACATGCATGAAAAAGAATGGATGAATGAAAAAGGCATGAAAATCTGGTTTAACAAAGTCTAGTCACAAAGGCCTGGAGGATTACTTAAAAATCCAGCTTTACTTGTTTTTGATCACTTCAAAGCCCATTTTACACAAAGTGCAAAAACAATTGCAGCCGACTTGAAAACTCAGCTTGTCATGAGCTGTTGGGCTAACCAGCCAACTGCAATCTCTTGATGTCTCAGTAAACAAGCCATTTAAGGCTCTAATGAAGAAAGAGTGGACATCGTGGATGCAGTCAGCTGGTAATGATTTAACACCTACAGACAGGATCAAGGAAGCATCCCTTGCCCAGGTTTGTGATTGGACCCTAAGATCATGGAATGGTGTCAAGAAGGAAGTAGTTGTAAAACCGTTTAAAAAATGCGGCATCTGCAGTCCTATAGATGGAATTGAGGACAATGAAACTTACCAGGATGAGGAAAGTGACTCTTCAGAAGACACCAGTAATATAGAAACAGAAGAAGATGATACTTCTGATTTGACAATGATGAAGAGTTCTTGGCCTTTTATGATGCATAAATATTGTAAATTTGTTATGAGTACTTAAAATTTTTTGTACCTTGTATGTGTTCTTGTGTTTTGTAATTATTTGTTACATAAAATTTCTTGTACCATAATATCTCCAGAAATAAATGCTAAAATTCCATTATAATACAAAAAAACAAGTATCTAAATATAAATAATTAAGTGAATTAAAAAATTAAAATAAAAGATTTTTTTCCTGAAAATTTGGGTCAAAAATGTGGATGCGCTTTATACACGGGAGTTCATTATACACGGCAAAATACGGTAAATCTCTAACAGTAAACATTCAGGCAAGTGGCAGGCTAGTTAGGAAGAAACCTATTATGGAAGTAAAAAAGCAGCTCACCAATCGTATGGTGTGTTGACTTTCTGATGCTTACCTTTGAGGTGGATTCTTGTTCACTCTTCCACAAGAGGGCAGTAATTGACACTCAAAGCTTGGCCCCTGTGCGACTACATTTTATATTGCACCTCATGTCTTACAGTCTTTAAAACACCATGGTTTTAAAATAAAAATATGGGCTTCAATTTTAAAAGGGTTAAATTAAAATGTCACATTAAGTTTGTTGTATTATTCTTATTATTTAATATAAATTCAGTGTTAAAATTACCAAAAAATTATTTGGCCTTTTAAAAATTTAACTTGAGAAAATGTTTTCTAAAGATCATATGGAGGAACAAATGGAAAAGAATAGTCAAGACAGGTTTGAACAAAAATAAGTAATTGAAAGGTGGTGCTGGGGTGGACAGCTTGCCCTGTCAAATATGAAGTAGTCTGTAAACTGATGATAACAGTAAAGGTACTAGCATAAGATTTAACAAATAGCTCAGAGTTGCAAAGGCTGTAAGTCAGCGTAAGGTAAACATGGCCCCATGAACTGGAGGGAAGGGAATTATTCAGTGAATACTACTGGGACAGTTAGTTAACTCTGAGGGAGAAGATAAGTTTAGGTTTTACTCTTTACCGTACCTTATGAGTAAATCACAGAAGGTTTAAATAATGGTGGTGGTGGGCGGGGGAGGGGTGTGGTTTACTAAACTACTAAGAACTAAAAAAGTATAGGTGAATATTTGATCTCAAGGTATGAAAAATATGGGTATAAAAGTAATAGAAGAAAACACAAATGGAAAACTCAGAATATGTGATTATAAAAATTAAAATTTTTCTAACATAAAAATCTTAAAATTAAAAGACCAACAATTATTTTTAACAAACAGGACAGTGTATTTTCTAATATTTCTAAATATTTATTACTTTTGTAACAAAAATATAATAAAAAAATCTTTAAAATTTACCTACAAAAGAAAAGTGGGCATGAGACGTGCAAAAAATCACAGAAAAACAAATTAAAATTACTAAAAACATTTTTAAAATGTTCAACCCTTTTTCACTGTCATAAAATGCAAATGAAAATGATGTACTATTTTTTTACCTATCAAATTAACAAAAACTAAAAGTAGTTTAAAAGCTCTTTTTCTAAGTACTAATGGAAAACAATTTTGCAATGTATATAAAGAACCTTAAAAAACAGAAATCAGAAAGTTGGGTAAAAATTTATGCCCAAAGATGTTCAAAGCTAATTAAGAACTTTTTCATTGGAAGTAGAAACATAAATGTTGCCAGGGGAACATTTAAAGTATATAAACCCTTAATATGGGCTATTATGCCACCATTAAAGTGAAATTTTTTAAATAACTATTTCAAAGAATTCTTAAGCTTAAATGCTAAGTGTAAAAGTGAGCTATATTATATGTGTAATATGATTTTATTTTAAAAATATGTTATATAACTAGAAAGATATACTCAGAAAAATATCTAAATGTGAGCAGTAGTTTTATCTTGGTGTTGGCATTAGAGATTATTTTAATTCCTTCCTGACAACTTTCCATACATTCCTTATTCTGTGTAATGAACAAATATTCCCTTAATAAACAGGAAAAAATAAAATACTTTTTAAAAAGATTCTTTAAAGGATGGTAGTGGATATCTTAAAGGCGAAAAGTTGTTAGGGATGAAGCTTTGAAATCACAAAACATTCATAAATGTTCTAGTTTCAAAATATGCACTATTAATATAGGAATATTGACATACTAATTAATTTGACTTAATTCAGAATTTGAGTGCCTTCTAGGCACTTTAAATTATCTGTATTTGTTGGGTTCCACTTAGTAATGTCAGTGTAATTAACACATACCAGTTGTGGTAAGTGACATCTTAATACCTTTTCACCTCTGCCAAAATGTACTTCCCTTCCTGTAACCTTCTTGTTCACTATTTCATAGACCTGCTTTTTAGTGTAAATAAAGAGACCTAGTTAGGGAGAGGTTAAGTTACAGGATACAGTGCCAATGTACTGAGCTGCCTCCTTCCCTTACACACCTGAGAAGAAGTTAACTGGAGGTCAGGGTTCTGCTCATATAGAGTAGAGGTGCAGAAAAACAAACCTTGGTTCTCTTAAGGAGGCCCCCCCAAACTCAAACTCAGCAGAACTGGGAACTTCCCTCCTCCATCCGGGTGTATGACCCCGATGAGAGAATCAGTGTCCACAGCGAGCTGCTCAGAAGGCTTCAGTTCATTCTCTAGACCAAGTTTCATCAGCCTCAGCACTGACAGTTCGGACCAGATGATGCTTTATTGTGGTGATTGTTCTGTTCACTGCAGGATACTCAAAAGCATCCTTTGCAGCATACCTAGATGCCAGTTGCATTTCCTACCCACAAGTCATGACAATAAAAAATATCTCCAGACATTGCCAAATGTCTCCTGAGAGGCGAAATCA